ATCCGGGAGTGACGCGCGGTGATGCGCTGCCAAGATGGCGACGGCTGGCTCTGCCCACTTTTGAGCTTCAAAAACCTCTTCAGGAACCTATGGGTGACGTCATGGACACTACGTCCATGTTTTTATACAGTCTATGGTTCAAGCGCAGCTTTTTGGCCCAGACGCAGCCGACGCGAGGCGACAACACAGTCGGCTTTCTTCCAAAAGGGTCTGGGTGCAGACGCTTGCACGCTCAGACTTGCATTCTCAGGCTTGCACTCTCAGACACTTGCACTTCCTCTAGCGACGTCACTTGCAGTCTTTATTATTTTTTATTTTGTTCTATTTATTGATTACTTTTGGCAACAGGCACAATTTGTGTCGATTGCAAGTGACGTCGTCGCAGGTATCGGAGAGTGCAAGTGGCGATTGCAAGTGACTTCGTAATTTAGTTTCTTTTTTCTTGTCTTCACCACCTGGCTACTGTTGTAAAATGTTGAGAGATTCAAACAAAAAGTAATCAATAAATAGAACAAAATAAAAAATAAAAAAGACTGCAAGTGACGTCACTAGCGGAAGCGCAAGTGTCTGAGAGTGCAAGTCTGAGAATGCAAGTCTGAGAGTACAAGCGCAAGGCTGCAGCCAGACCCTTCTCGCTTTCTTCGCCGCTAGTTGGTTGACGTCGGCTTGGTGTGTCCCGGGCTTTAAACCTCTCTATTTGACACGCTGCTCTCGTGTGAACCATGCCATGCTACTCTCTCCACTGTACTCTAACGTTACGTGGTTACTGCTGAGACAAAAACACACCTTATGTTTAAGAGCTAATTGTGGAAAATATAAACTTCTTATGGATATTGATTTATTATTCTCCTTCTCTGGTTCACATGCAAATGAAATATAATGTAAAAATTGCTTTGTTTCAGCAGCTAGTTTTGTGTAGTCAGGAAAAAGCAAAAAAAAAAAAAAAGTCAAATGTACTCCCATCTACCCTATACTGGCCAGCCAATTATGTTTCTGAACATTTTTAGAATACATTATAATTCCACAAGAATACATATTTTTACGAACAACTTCTCATTTTTAAAGGGGTCATATGATGTTGCTAAAAAGAACATTAT